CCATGTATATATATATATATATATATATATATACTGTATATCTTCACATAAACTTGAAGCAAGACTTATCCTAGCAACCACATAGCAACATGCTAAAATGATTCTAACAATCAGATCACCCTAACAACGACCCTAGCAACACAGTTTCTTCTTCAAAAAAAGTAAAATCTATACCACCAACAAAAATGCACCAAGGTAATACCAAGTTTTTTTGGGTCCCATGATATGTTTTGAAGTGTCTTGGAGTGGAGATATCATTACTGTAGCATGATGCGCCACAGCACTCGAGCGTAAGGTAGGCCTATGTCTGGCCACCAGCGCGCTCTCATTTCTAATGCATCCTCAATCTGTGCAGACAGAAGAGCAGAATTCAGCATCCATCACCCCAGATATTGTATCCTGGAGTGCTGCGTGCTGCGGAGAGCCAGGGGCTTACAAAGTTCATAACCATCTGTTTCAATTACAACACATATGCATCTCATTACCAACACCCACAAGCTCAGAGCGTGACGTCAGCGTTGTCCTCTGGAGCGATGCAAGCGGTTATGTTGGCGGCCGTCATTCTGTGTTAGACTGCATCGGTGTAATTCCCCATGATCCACTCTGGTAAAGCTCATTCTGATGTATTCCTCCATTCCAGATTCAACATCCTTGACCAAATATTGCTGAAAGCCTCAAAATAAATGCTGCTGAAGTCAGTCACCTCAGTAATAGTCCCTTTCACTGACCGTCTGATGCAAACCGCATGCAAACATGCAACCAAACATGACTGATTGACTTTATGCAACTCACACCAGTTTAGAGACGTACCAGTTCACCTAGAAACCAAATCACGGTTAACAAGAACCCGTTCGATGCAGTTCAAAGAAAGAACTAGTCACTGCATCTCCCAAAGACTGACAGGTTAACTAGATATAACCATGAGAAAACTCATTTTGGATGGACAGTAGTACTGCTCACACACATTTCTGCTCATTTTATTGACGTTTTTCACCAAGCGACATTACTGTGCACTTATTTCAACAGGTTTCTACACCGGTCGATTATGGACCCTTTTCACAGAATGTGATGATATATCTAGCAAAGTTTTTCTTTTATTTTCATTTTTAAAAATGTAATGCACTTTATAACACTATATCTTGTGTAAGGTTACATTGGCATTATGTTTTTAGAAATCTAGTTAATGATGCTGTGTGAGTGTTTCTAATGCAACTGCTGGAAAGTGATGGCAAATTTCACAGTGTTCTGTCTTTTGACCAACGTAATCAATATTTCCATACATGCATACACAGATTTTTTTTATCGTTTTTTTTTTTTCTTTTGCTATTACACACACACACACACATATATATATTAGTGCTGTCAAATGATTAACCGTGATTAATCGTTTGACAGAACTAATATATATATATATATATTTTTTTTTTTTTTTTTGGTAGTCATAGAAACACTATTGATGATTTTTCTTTTGCTATTAGTGCAGATGGAAATGCAAGAAAAATATTTGTTGTAGTTTCCATTTACCCTGATAGAAGTTTACCAACTATGATTATTTCTGCTTTGGAAATGTGAAAAGGGTCCATAGTGGTTCATATAAATCCACCCCTAAACGCCGCTAAAGACTGTGATTGGTCACTTCACCTGTCAGAAAGTCTATTCCTGTCTAATACCAGATACAAGCTCAATGTAATAAAGCGACACTCAAAAGCTTTTGGTCCAGAAACCTGCCCCACATATTAAACATCAGTGATGTTCTGTTTCAATCAGCTGTAAGATCAAGACTAGATTGCAGCAATGAAATAGGTATAAAAAAAGAAATAAAAAAAATCGACTTTATTTTCAACTCAAATCCACTAGTATAAAAAGTGACTTGCATAGTACAGAGGAACAATTTTGCACATAATGTTACAAAAGTGCACACATTTCTATAGACATATCAAAATATGTACACCTTAAATGATTTGCATGTTCTCCACACTTGGCCAAACTGGTGTTTAGTTGGCAAGCAGGTCTCACATCCTGACCAACTAAAAACTGTCCAAAACCCCTACAAAACCAGAAAACCAGACCAGCCTGAGCGGAAAGCCACCATAGGCTTGTCTTTAAGATGTTTTTTCTCAGCAGAGAAGTATTTTATTTCGGACTGGAGGAGACAATTCAGCAGCTATAGTAGATCTGCAGCGCGTCGGACGTCAGCTTAAGCTGCGTCGCGTCGCGTCGAGTGTCGAACGCGCGATCGCGTTTTGTGGCGTCAAACGAAATACATGATACCTTTAATTAAGTAGTTCCTACGCGTTAATAATTCATTATTAATAACGTTTTTTTTTAACGTTTTGTTAATATTTTAAGCTATTAATGATTATTAAATAGCCTACTGTAAATAATATCGATATGAAATATTATTATGAATAAGTTCACAGTCGTAATTGTGATGATAATTAACCCACTATTTGACACGAAGGCTTAAAACACACGACATTAAACAGTGCAAGTGTTTCTCCTGTCGCCACAAACCGCTGCGGCGCATCCGACCCATTGAAATACATGAGTTAGTGTGTACTACAGTAATAGACACTTACATCAAGACAAACCCGCTCATTTTGAGACTATGTGAAATAAAAAAAATCACATAACAGATATTCCGGATCATAGGTATAAACTCGATCAAACCCATTCGATGCGTAAAACACCTTCACGTTATATGTTGCATTAATTAAACAATTACCCTCTTAAATTGCCATACTATACATTAATACATCATCCAAACATAATATAATAAACTACATTAACTAAAATCATAAAACAACATCAGATTATTTAGTCGTTTCATCTCCGGTTGGCACAAAGCAAAGTTCCTCCTCAACTTGCTGCCGTTATTCCAGTCAGAGGACCGCGCGCGGACACAAATCCAACAGAAAAGTCGATATTCGCCTCAGATTACCGCGAATAATATGAATAACGTGATACTCGCCTTTGCTGACGGAGCCTGTGATGAAGTAAAAGATGAGATACAGCGGTAAAATCATTCCAATAGTGTGTGAGCCCCGCAGATCCATGATGCGCGACTGATGCTGGAATGAGACTGACTCTCCTCAGCGCGAGACTCTGGGAGCGAGCGGGTGTGTGTGTGTGTGTGTGTGTGTGTGTGTGTGTGTGTGTGTGTGTGTGTGTGTGTGTGTGTGTGTGTGTGTGTGTGTGTGTGTGTGTGTGTGTGTGTGTGTGTGTGTGTGTGTGTGTGTGTGTGTGTGTGTGTGTGTGTGTGTGTGTGTGTTCTGCTCTCAGTGGCTCTTCCACGCCATCCTGCTGCCGAACACATCTGAATACAGTCTGCGTGACTGCTCTCAGTGGCTCTTTCACGCCATCCTGCTGCCGAACACATCTGAATACAGTCTGCGTGACTGCTCTCAAGAGAGAGAGAGAGAGAGAGAGAGAGAGAGAGAGCGACAGAGCACAAACCTGCTGCTGCTTTAATTTAATCTCATCAGGTTATAAGGAGAATCTGCAACGCTGTCAGACATCACTTTAATATTCAAACTAAACGCGCCAATGAGAAATTATAAGTGCATTTGAAATTCCAATTCGAATTGAATGTAAAAAAAATAAAAAATAATTAAAACGGACTTAAATATACAACTGTAACTGTGCAGATGTGTGTGCACGCGCGCGCGTGTATAAAACTGATTTAGCTTTCAAGAATTTGTCATTTTTCAGCATTAATTAAAAACGTTATTTTTCAGATATTTTTTTTTTTAGTAATAGCTACTGAATTTTGAAATGTCACATAGTAAGTATTTTATTATATTTACTCTTTTATGTTAATATTTCTCTTTATGAGGTTCCCTAAAATAATGTTGCTTTATGACAAATAAATGCTGCTTGTGTTAGTTGTTTTGACAGTCTTGGGGCCCTATTTTAACGATCTAAGCGCACGGTCTAAAGCGCACAGCGCATTTGCGTTTAGGGCGTGTCCGAATCCACTTTTGCTAGTTTGCCTATCAGACACCCGGCGCCAGGCGCGACGCAAGTGTTTTTTGCTAGTTTCAGCCCGACGCAGTTGTCATTTTCACATCCTGCACCACGCTGTTTAAATAGCAAATGCATTTGCGCCCATTTGTGCGCCCATGGGCGTGCTGGTCTGAAAACGAGGTGTGTTCAGGCGCATTGCTGGCACGTTGCTATTTTGAGGCAACTGAAATAGACTGCGCCACTGACCAACAAAAACCTGGTCTAAAGTCACTGACGCAGTAGTTTTTTTTGTTATTTACAGAGCGCGGGTCCACAGCGCGCGTACACTGCTTATTACACACACAGGGACGCACAGCAGCACACAAACATGCCACATGTTAAAAATTAAAGGATTGCAATGTAAAAGATTATTATATGAAATGCCTACATGTCATAATGGATAGTCATTGCATGTATCAGAATTAGGCTACCTAATTGCTCGCGCACGAGCAGCTCTGTTTCATCTCTGGAGACGCATTCTGTCTTTGCGCGTGCAAATTCCGCTGTGTAAATAGCAAATCCGCCAAACTTATATTAATACTTCTCTTTATAAAGTTCTCTAAAATGATGTGGTGGGAGAGTTGCCATATGATAAATAAATGCTGGCGACGGTGTTCATTGTTTTGACAGTCTTGAACTTAGTAACTTATTTTCCAGGAACATTTTTATATTAATACTGAATGTTTGAAATGACACAAATAGAAAGTTGTCACACCTCTGGACAGTTTGTGTGCGTTTTTCTCCCCATGTGCTCAGTTTCTCCCTTGTTGGATTGTTCATTTGGTTCAGGTGTGTCTTGTAATTACCCTCGTTACCCCATGTATTTAAGTCCCAGTCTGTGCTGTCTGTCTTTGTCGGGTCTACAAACGTCATGTTCGTGTGTTACAGCCATTCCTAGTGTGGATTACCCTCTTGTTTTAGATGTATTAAAGACTGTTTCTCTGATCCACGTCTCCATCGTTCTCTCCGACACAGAGTGTGACAGAAGACCCAACCTGAAAAGAAGTTTAATTGCATGTTTCCCTCCGTTTGATTTCCGTTTTTTTGAACAATGTTTTTGTTTCCCGTGATTTCCCCATGGATCCCCTCGCTGCTTTGTTCGTCTCCCTAGTCCATAAGGACCTGCTTGCCGTTCTAAAGGCATTCGACGATGCTGCGCTGAACTCACTGTTCTGGATCAGGGCATACTACCACCGCCCCGTTGACCTCCCAGACATCACTGGACTGAGCTGGAGGGAAGCTATCATCCGGTGTCTGGAGAGCGTCTAGCCCCGATCCAGAGCACAGCCAGACCCAGAGCCCAGCCCATCATCACCCCGCTGTGTGGAGCTCAAGCCCGAGCCCGCCGTTGATGGAGAGCCCGAGACTGCCGTGACCGACGAGCCATCGCCGCATGGAGTGACAGTGCTGAGGATTGCCATGGAGCCGGAGCTGCAAGTAACGTCAGACCAGGTGCGAGAGCAGGCTATAACGCCCACCACGAGGGAAAGAGCCGTGGACAGTGAGAGCGCAGAGAGGAGCTCCGCCCCTTGCACCATGGCTGAGGGTGAGCTTAATGAGGAACTGGGACTGAGGAATGCTGAAGGGGATCCTGAATCAGACTTATATGCTGACCTGCCCCCTTCTCCTCCCTCCCTCGTCGGAGCCCTCTGTTAGTGCTGTTACCCTGTCCAGCCCAGTAAGACACTATGTTCCTGAGTTAAGCCCGCCGGCCGCTCCACTGTCAAGCCCGCCGGCTGATTTACTCCCAAGCTCTATGATGACAGCAGCAATCTCCTTAACCTCAGCCCAAAAGAGGAGAATGAGGAGGAAAAGACTGTTGGCTCTATCCCCTGACCAGAGTCGAGAGAGGGCTTCTGTTCCTGATTTCGGCCCAGAGAGGGCTCCTGTTCCCATGTCCAGCCCAGGGAGGGCCTCAGATCCCAAGTCTAGTCCAGAGAGGGCTCCTGTTTCCACGTCCAGCCAAGAGAGGGCTGCGGTTCCCACGTATGTCCCAGGGAGGGCCTCAGATCCCGAGTCTAGTCCAGAGAGGGATCCTGTTTACACGTCCAGCCCAGAGAGGGCTGCGGTTCCCACGTATG